CAGGGTGCGGTGCGGCTGCTTAAGGCGCGGGGCCGCTCGCTGCAAGCTCGCCGCGCTGCCGAGCTTCCGCGGCCGCGTTTCCTCGCGCTGTTGCCCTGGCGCCTTTGAATTAGTTAAATCCTTCCAGCGGTGCTCAAAGGGCAGCATCGCCTGGTAGAAAAGGTCATCCTCTTGCTTCAGATTATCAGTTAGACATGTCAGTCTCTGCAGGCCGGCGTGACTGGCAGTTGGGGCGAGTTCAGCGCGGGGGAGCGGAGGCGGCGGCGCCGTGCGGGAAGCTCCGCAGCGTCTCTGGGCGTTGAAGAGCCGTTCCCGTGTCGTGAGAAGAGGCGTACAGCGCTCGATGCTCTGGCAGAATCCCAAATTACATAATTATATTATTCCGCTTACTCGAGTTGTCCTTTCAATTTCAAACAGGGATGATACAGCCCAAGAGGGCCCAGGCGTTTTCCAATGAATTGCTAAATAGCTGCTGCATTCCCGCAGTGGGTAAAGCCATTTCTCTATGTTCACCTCTCAAATATATGCTTTTAAAAATGGTATGCTAAATGTTACAACCTACAGTGAAAACTCCTGTATTAAAACGTCTTCCTTCAGTGGATCTGCTTTGTATTTTTTTCTGACTTTACTAACAAAAAATGTTCTTTCTGTAGTAATTCTAGAAAATATCTATCAGGCTAATAATTTATACTGTATTTTTGCACCATCCGCAATTTTTTATTCTCTCTGCAGGACATAAGTACAAAATCAAAATCCAATTATGCTCTTGTACAGATTGTTAGGAGACAGGGGGTTGCATTTTTTTGGAATGCAGAGCATAGCCAAAGGCAGAATTTGGCTGAGATACTTTTATCGCTTATGATGAAGACATAAGAAATGAGGAAACTAGCCTGAGTCTTAGATCTCGAGTTCCATTTGCATTCAAGAAAATGATTTGCTGTCAATTGTCTCACAACAAAGAAAGATGAGGGAAAAAAATAGTACTCTCACTTGTGTCTGGTACAAGTTGGTACTAATTGCAGACAACCAAATCTGCTGAAGTTAATTGCATTGACGCACTGAACTTCTAGTTTGGCAGTGGAAGGGTGGACAGAGCTGTTACATGCTTGGGAACGTGCATTTTCCACCCTGTCCATTTCCCAGTCAAGCTGTCAGTGCGTGAGATGTGGGTGGCAGCATCAACTTGTGGATTTGGGCCATATTCTGCCGCCACTTACTGCCGCTTCCAGAGAGGTTTCTTATGTGGACATCCCTGGTGCTTTGTCTTGCGAGTCCTCGTGATAGATGATGCTTGAACATATTTTATAGCAAACTAGTGATAGGTCTGAAGAGACTTTCACTTCCCATGTTTTGAGACTGCTACTTTCCGAGGCAGAAATGCTATGCTGTTAGCTCAAGCTGGTATTGCGCCTGAGTTAATTACACTTGAGTGTGGGAGTTGACGAAGGTTGAAGCCAGCTTTTGGACAGCTAGTTGTGTGTCATTCTGCTGCTCCACTGGCTTGTCATGCTTATTTTTGAATGCAAGTAGTTCACTGGAATCAATGGGACTGCTCATCTTGATACCATTAAATACCTGCATGAATGCTTAATGACTGAGTCGGCTGAACTCTTATGTAGCAGTTGCCCTGCTGCACTAGAAGGCTTGCTTTCCCTTGTAAGAACTGATTGTGCCTCTTTCCCACAGTTCCTCCTTAAAACTTTTTCAGTTTTGTTGTTCTGTTGGACGTTTGAATATTACCGAATGTGCTAGTCCTGACAAGCAGATTGTACATCACAACCAACTTTAGACCAGCAGTCAATTTTTGACTACGTTTTTAGGCTATTTGGATATTATTTTCAAAAATCTAGGTGTCAATAACGAGTAATTATGAAACGAGATTAGGAGTAATGTGTAAACGTTCTGTTACCTCAGTGTGGCAATGGGATTAGGAACATTTGATAAATCTTGATGATATACTGTTTCTAATGATAAAATGATGGAATAATGCAAGTGCCTCTTATGTGTGGTAATATAATATGGAAGCCTACAGAAATATGTATAATTGACTCTGTTATTTACTACTGAGTTAAGAAGCTCACGACCAGCGTTCCAGTAGCCACGAAGCATACTGATGATAGTCTTCAGAAAGCTTACTGTGGACTTCAGTATGTGCTAGGCGATATGATTAGATTTGTGGATTAGACAGAATGTATTTAGAAACTTACTTGGTTTACGTCATGAAATTCAGGACTTGCAAAACAAGGTTAGTATATATTTTACAAGTTTAATGGAGCATATCACGGTCAGGTTCACACTGTTCACTGAAGACAGGAATTCACTAGAGACTAGTGCTGTGAGGTTGGTATTTTCAAACTGACACCTGAGGCTGATATTACTACAGCCTCACCAAAAACAGCCTGCTGCCATGATGAAAAAATAGAGAAGAATGGTTAATATAGGGCTTCTGGACCAGTACAGCAATATTTCAGATTTAAAATGTCTACAGCTGTTGATTTCTTGGCATCTTTTTAAGTCTTAGATCAGAAAATTTACCCCTCCCTATTGAAATGTTTGAGTTACAGATACTTTGGTGAAATGAATAGCTCTAGTACAATTTATTTGCAATGTTTAAGATTATTTTAAGCATAATCTTATTTTGTAGATTTTTAAAATAATTCTTTTGTTATTTAAACCTTTAAAGATGGCATGGTTAACCCTTTTACATTGTTTTAACAGTGCTGAGCTCTGATGACTACAGACAAATGTAGTAGGAACGTATGGATTGACCTCTCCTGCTCTATTTAAGTGCCATTCATTTGAAAGCAGAATGAAAGTCCTGAATTGACTTGGTGCATTTATAGTGATTAGTTTGCAATAAATTTTAGCAAATCTTTGTAGCACAGCTGCCTGTGAAGAAAACTGGCCTCACCATAGAAGGGATGTCATGCTACATAGAGTATGTCTATTAATTCCGAGCAAGAAAGTGCTTTTGTTGGAGGTAAGATTATAGTGCATTAATGATACATCTGTGAGGAAGATTCAAGGCTTAAATTTTTGCATGGAAGATGAGAACAAAGCAAGCTGATACTTCAACAGCCATCTGTCAGTTGGCATGTCAACAGTATCTTTATATAGGTGAGATTTCACACTAAAGAAGCCTTCCAATAGCATTTCTCACCAGGGCTGCATTATGGTGATGTATTTTGAAAATTTATGTAGCTAGAATTATTTCTCACTTCAGAGTTACTGTGAAAAGCACCTGGAATTACACTTTCTAATTGATGTTGCTTTCTTAAACTCACTAGTAGAAGGGTGACAATCTTAATGAAACATATTTTTGATGCCTATGGTATAGACAACCTAAGTATGATATTAAACCCCTTGTCAAGGGTATAATGATATTCAGTGCCTTAATTCAAAACAGTATGCATATATTGTTGTAAGCCAAGTTACATGAGTAGTTAGATCCTGCAGTAAACTTTACTGTAAGAAAGCTAGGAAAGCTCCAAGAGCCTATTGTGTATGAAGAAGTGATTCAGTGATGCATTACCAAACAAAACACCTCAAAACAAAATATACTGAATTGTTTTGTTAACTTGATGACAGCTTAAACGTCAGCATAAGCATATTTCACTGCTAACTGTTTTTTCCAAAAAAATGTAATGAGGCTAATCTATGTTTATTTTACTCTGATAGAGGGCTACAGATGATTTTGCAGCCATAGTGGCTGGCACTCATGCATTTAGCCTTATTCTGCAACCATCTGAAAAAGACAGAAGACACATTACATTGTGCTTCCTCTTAACTATGAAGACCCATTATTACTGTTGCTGTCTGGACAGACACCTATTAATGGGTTTAAAAAGTACAAGAGCATTTAGAGTTTATCTATCTGTCTGAAATATCAACCTTTTTCATGCCAGGAAGGCAAGGGAAAGATTAAAGATGTGTATTAAGGAAATATGCTATTCTGAAGAGTAGCAGTAAATGTAATATGAACGTCTCCTTTGTTGGAATCTGATCAGTTCCTATTAGAAATACCTAGTACAAACTTCATAGCGTAGCAGCGCGTTCAGCAGTACTGTTCGGCTTCTTGTCTTGGTGCTGCTATTATGAATGGGTCACTGTTAAGCATTGCTATGGTAACAAATTACTTGAACTGTGACTCAGAGTGGACATAATCGGTTCAGCTTTCTCTCTGCTCTCCTCTTCTGTTCCTGTATTGACAGGCAAACGTTGTGTTAGAAGCTAATGGGCAATTCAGCAGGTTACAGGAAAAATTCCAGCCCGCAGGAGACAGAGGCAACCTATGCCGTGGGTAAGACCAACAGGTTGTGGTTTGGTGAGAAAGCATGCTCTAGTTTATTACACAGTATTTATTAGGATTGCAAGTTGACAGATTTAAAAGCACAATAAATCATGTAAACTCATATCAGCAAGAATATAGGAAAAGCTATTAGATAAAAGCATGATCATTTATCGAGATCATTCCAGGATCCAAATTACACTGTAACAATTGTAACATTATCGTCATTTTAAATATAGAGGCTTAAGCTTCTCTTTGTATGTAATTATCACAGTCGTCTTGTGAAATTCAGGTATAGTAGCCTAAATAGATTATGTATGCTGCTTATTCTGAGAGTCTTATTATGTTCTTGATTTCATCTTTGTGTATCTATCTCATCCATTAGTAATGAATTTTAGGGAGTCAATCCTAATTCTCTTTCTACTCCAAATTTTTTCCTATTAAATTCTGGACCCCTCCCCCTTTCTTAGAAGTAAATAGAAAAAAGATTTCATTCATAATGACTTTAGGCCTTTCAAAAATAAGTGTGGTTACAGTTTAATTATAAAAGTGGTTTGTGTAATGCTGATACATTTTAATGAATTTAATTTTTTCATGAATCTTCTCTCTAGAACTAATACATATGAATACCACATTTATCCCATGATGAGTTATGGAGCTAGCATTAATGCTGCAGGTTTTAGTTCTCAGGTTCCTAAATTCCTTAACTACTGCACATATAGATTTAAACAAAGAAAAATACAGAGTACTTTAGATGGAGCACCATTAGTACAAACAGAACAATTACTGGATAAAGTCTCATCTGAGAGATTGCTCAAGCTTAATACTTAGAATGTAGTTTACTTTGCAAGAATGCAAAAATGACAAGACCAGTTCAAATGGTACAAAGTATTCTGCTCACTGAAATGCTAAACTTTATTTACACAGCTTTCTTTCCATCAAATATTACTGAAGAATGGGTGGTACGTAAACAATGAAGTGCATGCAATATGATCCCTTTACTAAGAAAATAAATTTACAGTTTCTGTTAAATGAAGACCAAATGCTAATATATACAGTCTGTTTACTGAAAGGCCTTGTGAGACATTCAGGTCTGATTTTAATACTTTCCAAATAAATACCAAAGTAATGCAACATTTACAAATAGCATACCAGCAGTATTCTCACAGTAATCATTTTACAAATCAGAATTCAGTATTTCAGTTAGGCAAATGAGTAGCAGCTTCTTCATAGATATTAAGGCATGTCACATAGCATCAAAATGGAACCGATGAGCTTCCTGTCGCTTCTCTCTGTCATCTGCTTTCTGAAAAATAAAAACCAAGCACTTTATGGGATCTAAAGTACTACCGTTACAGAAATGAGTTGTGAAATGTCAGAGAATGGTTGATTTTTTCCAAGTTACTCATTTCAAAAAAGGCAAAAAGCTTAGTAAAAGCCTCAATAATTACCTTTTAAATGATGTCAGTTTGTAATAGCAATAATCTACTCAAAATTGGCTTCTGCTGCTAATGCGCAGCTGTTTTAGTATTAATGATCCTTTTTTATCATTCTAATAATGCTTTTTTAAAGGAATATTGCAGAAACGAAGAATGTTTCCTAGTGTACCATTATTTAGTCTGCATTATAAATATGAGATGAAATGACTCTGAATTAACCATAAATATTCTTATCTATATTACACTAGAAATAATTTTTTAAAAAATTTCTGTTAAATCCAAATTAGACAAAGGTGGCAGTCCAACCAACAATTAACAGCACCAGGTAAGGTTAAAAGAAGTGGCATGGTCTGCATTTTTGTTTGTATTAAGGAAATGTGAGGTAGTGTACATTTCCCTGTTTATTTATTCAGAACACACTGATCTGCTCAAAGAGTAGTTTGGGTGCTACTTGGGAAAAAGAAGCATATTTAAATTGTACCTATGGCCAATGTAGTGTGTAACAACATGTTGCCCTCTCCCCCATGCCTCTTACGCTTTAAAGCGGTAACAGTGTGGAAGCACTTATTCTAGGCTTTTTAACTACGTCAGGAACTTCTCTAGGAACTAGTGTTCACCTCATGACAGATAATCTGAGTGCAAATCCTAGAGTGAGGGAACTTAGCAATATTTAAATGCTATTTCAGCTTGCTTACACCTAACAATTTCTTTGATGAATGAGTGAAATGAAGAAAAGCCTTTACAGTATGCTGTTGTGTTGGCATTCAGATTTGTATCTGAGTTGATAAATGCGAATGACAATTTTGGTAGAAATCAGTGCTTGTGTTCTGCCATGAAAGTTTGTCATCTGCTCTGGCTCAATGCCAAAGACTTCCTCATCACACAGCGTTTATATACGATAAGTATTCCACTGGGTTAATAGTATGGATTTTACTGCATTTTGTGGCAGCAGCAGAGCTGTCAGTGTAGTTCAGGATGCATCAGCCTGACATTTTGGCAGGGACTTTATCATCAGTAGTATTTGTAATGTGAAAAATGGGGTGGGAAGAAGGGAGTGGCATACTGTTTCCTCTACTGAAACGCTTGTCGGAGTCCACAACGTTCTGTAGAATCACCTAGAAAGCAGTTTTGTTCCTTGTATGTTTCCTGAAAAAAATTATGCCTTCAAATTGCACAGTAACTGATACTCTGATGAATCCATCAAAACTTCTTAGAAGTATTATTGTCAAAATACAGTGTTCATATGACTAGCCCCAAGACCACAAAGCAGATCAAAAAGAACCAGAATTTGGGAATGCTAAGGTCCTCGTTAACGTGGCAGACTGTTTTTCTGGCATTAATAATGATGTGCCTTCTTCCTCAATTCCTCTTTCATTGGTCGTACCAAAACTAAAAACAAGTTACTGAGATTGGAGAGCCATTCTTTTTTTAATGGATCCAAAATCGCCAAGGAATATGACAGAGCAACATACTAACTATCCTTAAATACTACAGTTATTATTTAAACAATAAAATAGTTGGCAGATGACTGCATAAGAACAGTTATAGACAAAGGGCTTCTACTACCACTTGTCTGAAGAGGACAAAGTACAGGGTTTATTTTAACTAGTGAATAAAACACTGCAGTTTACAGATAGATATAGCCTCTAGAGGAACAGCAGAGATTGTAACTGCCAGTACGTTTTCCCTTTCTTTTGCTATAGGTACGCTAGAGAGCTGTAAACGAAAACAGGATTTAGGCAGAGCAGTGTTTTCATGAGAGGGCTACTGAAACGGGCAATAAACCAAGCACAAGCTTAAAGAAACCCTTAAGGAACTCCTGAGTTTAACCACAGTCATGCCAGTGACGTGCAGTACAGCCTTGGTCAGGATTATTTGTTCTGTGCCGCATCCATCTCTTCTGTAAATTGGGAAGGTAAAAACCAACAGGAAGGCACTGAAGAATTAAGAAATGTTTATACAGTACTTTGAAAAGACATGTAATTTGTCCAGATAGTTATGCCAAGTTTGAAGAAGAGGCAGCTGTCAGAAATCAGTTTACAACATAACCAATAGCACTTCATTCATATTTACTTAATGGGTCTTAAAATGGCTCAGAAAGCACCTGCTGTGGGCTGAGTGCTTCTTTACATTAAAATATATGAATTGTTATATGAAGAATTATTTTGAACATTGACGTTAATCTCCATTTTTCCAGATGGAACGGTCCAAAGTTAATCATTCTCCAGCTCAAAGTCCAAATATTTTTTCCCGATACTCTTGTTGCATAAGATATGTTGGAGGCAGAGGTTAAACTGCTTACTCCTAGCTACCATTTAACAATGCTATCTTGAGACAGCAGGACGTGTAAAGGACAGTCATCGTAAACTTTGTATTTCCTTGTTTTCGCCTGTTTAATTCCCAACCTTACCCTTATTTGGAGACATTAGTTAACATTTTGAAAAGTGAGGAATGACAGACAAAGTAGTATTTTAATATGAAGCATGCGCTAAACCTATCTGAATGTTTAACAAGGTCATTTTATTTCCACAAGCACAAAATAACAAACAGTTCTACCATGTCAAAATGTGCAGTAATTTTATTTGACAGCTCAGATTATGGTTTGGGTATGTAGTTGCATTTATTGGCAATCTTGCCACTTGGAAATGATTGCGAAGTGAGCATAGTTAGGAAAAATGGGAAGGCATTTCTTTTTGTGACATGAAAGGCCCCTTTCAAAATGCTTCTTCCAATCAATGAATTTCTATACCCTGCATGTATAATTCAGACACACAGAGCAAAGCAGCCAATATGCACACAATTGACTCCCTATACGGTCACGAATGCTAATGGCAGTGCAACCAGCAAGGACAGAAACAGAAAAAGAGACATTTTTCCTTATTTTTAGACTATCAGGAGAACTCAAGATAAATAAGTTGAGTTTATGTTGCATTTTCCAAATATAGTACTCCTTAAAACTCTGCAAAATAGAAAGCTTAGCTATGAACCAAAGAATTAACATTTAGTTGGGAATAACAGCTTAATGGCAAAAGCTTATCCCATTGCTAGCTGTTATTAGCTGTTGATCCTTAGCTGTTGACCCCCCCCCCCTTTTTTTTTTAAAGTATCTTAGAGTTTAAATAACAACAATGCTAACTTTTAAGCTTGCACTAAACACTGAATTAATAACAACTGCATTTTGGAAATTAATGCAGTCTGATGTGTCAGAAATTATACTGGAGAAAACTACTCAAAATAACAATGTACAAGACTATGTAAAATATTGGGAAATGTTAAATAGTAGAGAAATGCAGAAAAATTCAGTTAATTAAACTTACCTTTTCTTGCCAGTGTAATATGCCAATTATTGCCAGGATAAAGACGCAGACACCAATTAAGGCTATAGCCGTTAGCAGCACAATGTTACTTGGGGTCAGATATAGCTTGGCACTCCAACTGTAGAGAAGAGCAAAATCCAAGGAAGCATTAATATCTGTCATTAGGAAGCAGCAAATAGATGTAATTTATAAAAACAAAAAGAACCTGCTAATGCAAGAAGGGCGAGGACTTAATCCACAGAAACTACTGACTGTACTTGGAGACTGGAGCGTAATGGTGTTTACTTAGAAATATGTGGCTTAATATAATTATTTTCAGGTAATGCCATGTCTAAATTTAGTTTCTGTTGAACTAGCCAGGAGTGCCATGGACTGTTTTTTTTTCTCATTAGATTTATCCTTTTTCCGCCCAGTGGAACAAAATAAAATGCGTAAGAGAAAGTTCCACAAAACTGCCTGGGGCTCAGGGAGATGGAGAAGCAGGGTGAAATAACTCAGTAAGATAGGTTATTTCCTCCATATAAGGAGCTCATCTTCAACAGGCTTATGGGGAGCAGCTGGTTTCTGCCAGACTGAAGTTTACACCCAGGGACAACTGACGTTGCAGGCAATGGAACTAGTTGCCTATGGCAGGAGAAAGCTGGAGGGCAACGAAGTCGGGCGCTGTAAGGGCTGCCTCTGGAAGGCCCGCCTGGAACTTTCGTGGCCCAGATGCTCAGTAACCACCTTTTTATACTCCTCCAGACCTCCCCCCGGGGAAAGCTCTCAGCAGGGGGCTCGATGCTGAGGCAGTACCAAGGCTTTCCAGAGGACTGCTCAGCCCTGTACTGTCAGCCCTGCCTTGCTGCCCAGCAAAGCTGCATCTGCGAGTGCCCCCGGACAAAGAGCCCTCAAAGCTGCTTATGCACTGAGCATCTAGTAGGTGAGACTTCTATCCTCCAAGCACTCATCCTCCATTTTATAATTTAACCAGGCAGCAGGTGATGTGTCTACATCATACTGCCCTCCGCACCGCCCAGGGAAATCTGTTCAACCTTGTACGTTAAGTAGCCAACAGTAAGGACTGGGAAGGAATCGACTGTTTTGTACTACATCTCCCAGTCCATCAGGAAGAACAGATTCTGTGCCCAGAAGGCAAAGGGTGCAAGCCACAGGACCCAAGAAAGCGTGGGTGCTTATGTGAAATGTGTAATTTGCAGCTGGGTGCAGGCCAGCACCATTGCTATGAGAGATATGTTTCTGAAGGGATAGGCAGCCTTTCTCATCGCCGTCTCCTACAAGGATTATTTAATTGAGGGAGGGGAGAGACAGCAGAAAATCTCCATTTCCTACTTACAGCCCACAACATTTTGCCAGCTTTTTCAAACATGGTATTCCACTAGGAAATTTGTTTCTTTTGCTTTGAGTTGAAGCTAAACTTATCTGTTTGTACATAAATACTGTATTGAACGCTCTATAGTTTCAGTAATAATTTGTTATCAAGTGCTAACCTGCATTCTTTTTCTTCCTTTTTGGGTCAAAATACCTGATCCTTGTAATCAATGGGATAATACAGGTGTCTGCTGAAAACAACAGAACTTACTTACAGTACTCAATCTTGCAGAAAGAGGCTTAATGTTTCAGAGAAGTAAAGTGTAGAATTTGGTCTGTTTTAATAGTATATCTCAGGAAACAACACCTCTATGTTAAAATATATGGAATTTAAGAAATGTTCATTATGAAATCTGATTTATTTTGGGGGAATTTATCCTCCACTGTTCTACAGTGTCCATAAACTTCCTCAGTAGAAAAGCAAAAGTAGTTTAAGGATAAGAAGATCAAGACAAATTTCTGCATAACACATACCTTTAAATACCTCAAGACTATGACTTTAAATTTTCTTCATCTGGCAGATCTTATTCCCGTGGTTGTTAATTAGCAACTCAACATCACTTCTCAATTCTTATTTGTTCTATAGTAAAATTAACTGCTGAAACTGATGTTGACATCATTTCTGCATGATAAATGCAACTGACCTCACTAGTAGATCAAGCGGCAAAAAACAGCTGGAATATGTGACTGTTTTCTCTAATAGCAAAGAAAGAAACATGCTGACTTTCTAAGATAGACATTTCAATTACAAAATGAATTTAGCGTTGAAGCTCTTGTGTGGGTGGGTAGCCCTTTCACCTGTTTTTGAAGAAAAGCATTCATACCTGTGGCAACAGACACTATGCTTGGAAGGTGAATTGAAGCTGTTTTTTTTTTTTTTTTTAAATGAAGCTAGACACAAATTGCACGTTTGGTGCAACAAAAATGCCTTCTTCAACTCTTACCATGCTTGCCATTTATCAGAAAGAGGGCTGGTAAATCTACAAATATGTTTTTATTTATAGGAGTAGAGCTGGTAATGGATTTTGATTGTTTATGGAGACTATATAAGAGCCTGTATAAATACTTCAGAAGTATTCTGCCTATTCACTGAAGCAACTTTATCTACAGAATTGACCTTCCTCTTGGCTGTTTTTAAATTCACTTCCCATACACATGTATTTTTTTTTTTTAAACCTACACATGATGCCTAAATTCTGCATTAATAATGTAATTTTGTGAAGTGCATTTCAAAATGATGCAGTTACCTTCGAGGAACATTATGAGGATATGGAATGACTATAAGTTGAGAGTTTGGTATGATAGCTGTCCATTCCTGTTTTCTTATGGACTGAAAGAAAAACAAAGGCTATGTCAATTCCTTACAAATCAACATGCTTTAAAGCAGAGTATTCTGAAATTCTCTGTTGAAACATAGAACGGGAGAAACAAAAAAGCTAAAATTACTCTTTTTTTTTTTTTTTTTAAATAAGTGATTATTCCCTTACATGTGTAGGTACCTTTTATCCTGAAAGCTCCCAAGCACTTTAAAAACAAATAGAAGTATAAACCAAAATAAGTATTACTGATATGAAATATAGCATCTGCTTAAAAAGTACAAAGCAGCAATATAACAGGGAAGGAGGAAAAGAACTGATTCTAGAAAGGAATTTTACGCAGACAAAGCAATTATCCAAAGCAGAATTTCACTAGCACACTTAACGTGAATACCTCTCTTTTTAGAGCAGTACCATGAAATCTTTAAAGACTGCAAATGGTCAGGACCCTACTTTTACATTTCACCCGATGTTTGGATAATCATGGTAATCTCCCCCTCCCACCATACTGATCATGGTTTTATCACTGAGACAGAAATCATTATGTGAATTTACATGTCAGCCAGAGCAACCGCAGGGAAATCTTACAGCTGGCACCATAATAATTGGACCATCAAATCTAATACACATTTACCATATAAACAAGCACTCTATACCTCTGCTAACACTTACAGACAACTTCAGTGATCTTTTGGTTTTGTTGTTCACTTCAGAGCTTGTACGGCCCCAAAAAAGCGGGCATATAAGTTTTTGTGTTTTGCTTTTTTGGGTTGGTTGTATTTTTTGTTTCTGTTTTGCTTTGGCAAACTTTTTCCTGTGCTCAAACTTACTACTTTGAGATTCTTCTGAAAAAAAAGTGTCCCTAACAGTATTTCCATCCAAACTTTATTAGGAGAGGTAACAACATAGATAATAGCTTAACAGTGTTAAATCTCAACTAACCTTTTCTCCTAAAGGACGAGGAATGCCAACATACAAATGGTCGAGGAAATTAGCGCTGCGTCCCAAGCCTAGCACATTGTATGGCAACTGGAGGGCAAAATGTGCTGACTGGCTAAGCTGTCCAGCTGCAATTCAATTAGAAAAGAAGCCTCAGAAAGTAATTTGAAAAAGACTTTGTATACAAACACACATATCAGGCTCAAAAATAAAAATATTCAGGAAATTTTAACTCTACCATATGATTATTTAATTCTTAAAAGCTAAATCCCACATTGCCAAACTACTTGTGGGCGCTCAACTTGGAGAACAGCTTAAATGCTTTAGATTTCTGGATAGAGTAATTCTTCTGAGCATGATTTCTATGTTGAACTGAAACTCGGCCCTTTGTTACAAGTTGAGAAGAAATGAGCTATCCAAACTTTGATTTGGCTAGCACTGAGTATCTTGCCCCACTGACTGACTTGACAACTTAGATTCAGAGGGAAGGCTCACTTTAATTCTTATTAGTAGCAATCAGTAACTACTGGTTATTCATGTGTCACAAAATTAGCTAAATAAATGCTCGTGAGCAAATTCTCCAATAATAAATTGATTTAATGGCAACAGGATTACAGCCGTTGCAAGTTAGGTCCTAGTGAAAGCATATAATTACAGAGAACTGCGGGAGAGACTGTAGGGGGAAAAATAACGTTTTCCTTTGTTACCTAAAAGGGCAGTAAGGAAACAAGATAAAAGTGTTTTTAGCTATCTATAGACTCACTAACATCCTAGTTCTGATGTGGCTGATTATTCCATTTAAGTAAACATCTTGTAATCTTTTCATTTACTGCAAACTGATTCAGATCCTATGGGAATTCTTTGTTCATTTCCTAAAGAGCTTCTTTGTAAGTGATCTGGCTCCACAGAAGGAACGATAACATCATCTCATAAGCACCCCAGTGAATTCAGCCCTTCACCAGACTAATAGAAATAAGTCCATGGGACCCTTGACAAAAAAAGTAAGTTTATATGATCAATTGAAACAGTTTTTCACAACAATATGATGTCAGGATTCTTTGAGTGCAAGGTTTTTGCACTGCTTTGACATCTGATGCACAATTTCAGGCATAACCCATAAGTTAAGCACAACACATAACAATGTGAATTATAGGATAAGAATTCAAACATTGTAATGCTACTGTAGAAAGCCACAGACAGAAGTGTGAGTGTGTGTGTGAGTGTGTGTACCAAAGAGATGGAAGTGATTTAATACCTTAAATCGGAGAAATACAGAGGAGAGGCACAGGGACAGAGTGAGAGTATTTTAAATACTGATTCTAAGCAAAGATACCATCTGTAGCTCAGAAGACACCGAGGTACACATCGCTGGAAGCCGAGGGAGTACATGCCAGAAATTATCACTCTATACTGTCTTGGTTCTCATGCAGGCATGTGCTGGACTCAGATCAGTTTAAATGGACTTCGGATGGCACCTTACATGCCCTTTCCTCTATTCTTATTTAGAACTGAACATTCATCGTACTAGACAGAGATCAACTGAAGTCACAGCCAAAAGATACATGCCTAACAAGCTCTTATTTGGACATCTCGGGAGAAAACACATTTTCAATTGCCATATAGGCAAAATAATTGCTTGTTGCAACTCCAGTCATTTCAATAGGTATTTTTATGGGAGTATTTTATTATAATGTAATGCATAAACTATCAAGTAGATCACTCTCCTCAGCTGATCAATGTGTAACGTGGCGTGCTAGACACTGGTAGTCCAAGAGGATGCTTCTCTGCAGTTTAGCAGAGGAAGATCCATATCTGTGTTCTGTTAAAAACCAGACTAAACCAACCAAAGAATAACATCAAGTTTCTCAGGTTACTTTTGGGAAATATTAAAGAGATTTAAATAAGCTAACACATTTTGTATTTCCTGAGATTATATTTACAGCCAAATCCTTTCCACCGCTCCGTAGTTGCGTTTCTTCCAAGGCTCAAATTCTGAAACTCAGTATTTTGCTTCAGAGACCTGTCTCCTGTCCATACCAAGTGGACTGCATCTTGCACAGCGGTAGTGAACAGGCAGCAGGGGGAGGCAACCAAAACCTCTAAGCTCCATGACTGAGCCGGGGCAGAACTAAGCCAAACATCCTTTCAAGAAAATACAGAAAAACTCCCACCACTGGCTCCTAGAGACAGCCAGGTAAGTGCAGACACGCATTTGCCACTACACAGCGGCAGTGTGGTGCATCTTTGTACCCTGATCCAAATGGGAAGGCTCTTGAAAGCGATCGTATACAAGCACTATAAAAGCTCCTACAGCAAGGGATTGCCAGGAAAGGTATCTGTTCTCAGAGGTAGCAGCTCTTCAGCCCTTGTATCCTTTTGCTGGGGACAAACTAATTGGTATATCAACTGATGGTAATTTTGAACTGCTGTACAGCATGATGGTTACTTCATGGTTCTACTTCCCTGAATTATGCCCCTGTGTGCCTCCGCCCTCCCTGCCCCTGCCCTGGTTGTTAGGAAGAAGCTTCCCACATGCTTCCAGGCTCCTATATTAACACAATAAGAGATCGTCCTGCTGGATGCGCAGCAGTAGCTGCCTATATAAACAGTAGTTTCAAGATTTACAATAGGGTTGAAGGAGGACATGAAAAAGGATCAACCTGTTGGTCTCCAACCGTCTACCTCACCTTGTCTGGGACTGCTGGAAGGTAGTCTAAGGAGAAACATCATATCATAAGGGTGCTCCAAGAGAACCTATTATCAGAAAGTTACGTGCACAGTTGCTTCCATGGAACAAACACTGATTATTACTAGCATACTAGGACTTAATGCAAACTTACTACTAATGGTTCTAAGAATTTTAAGAATGCTAACCAGTAAAACAGGTAACATTCTCCAATGGAAATCTAATTTTCAAGTTGATAATAGAAAACACGGCATCACTGCAGGCAACATAAAATATATACAAAAGGGCAGCAAGTAGCTACTCTGATGTATTTACAAGGTTTTCTGTGACGGTCATATACATACATTTTATTCGTGGTTGTTCCCTTTTTCCACTTTAAGGGAGAAGAGAGATTTCTTTCAGTTCATCTGCAACCGTAGTTCCTATTGGAGAACTATATTGTTGTAGCAAATAAGCGCAGTATCTACATTCAGTGCTACAACTTTACGCAAGGCGAACTGCAGATACATACATCACAGAAAATTATATGGAACATCACAGAAAATTATACAGAAACCTGGGAATTATACAGAACCTGGGAAAAGTGTCTTTGCATTTCAATATGCCATTAGCCTAGGTGGTTGTGTTGTCTAACATTTCAGTTTTAACAGGTTAGATAAAAAGTTCAGGCATAAAATGCAGTTTTGAAACAGGCCTCAACCTCATGGGGAAATACTCTGTCTTACAGCAGTTTTAGAGCTGTGATTATGCTCTTTAAAAAAGGAAGATAAATTTGAATTAATTTCACTTTGCTGAGATGTGAAACATCAATCTGACTAGAGTTAACTTTTTAATCAAGCTAAAATACTATTTATAAAAAGAAACAATAACATTGTCACTAAAGATTAGGCATATCGTAGATTTAGTTCTTCCCCCTGCAAAACCGTGTAATGAGCCAAAACGACAGGAAACATTTAAATAGGACTTGCACTTTCAGGCCTGTGCTGTGAGGCCAGGAACGCTGCATACGCTGTTTGCGGACTTCCTAGATTACGGAATCTGTGGCAGAAAGCATCACCTGAGACGCTTTTCGCTTTAAGAATAGGGGTTTTTCCAATACGCTAAAGTAATGGTATAGGACTTGACTCTGTCTTTGCTTTGTCACAGACTTCCTGCATAATCTTGCCTAAATTGCTTAATCTCTGTGTCGCAATTTCCAACTCTAAAACGGGAGTAACTATCTCATAGGCACGTTATTAGAGTATGCATATAATATTTTAAGGCACTGGCTACCAAGACAAAGGAAGTAATAAGGGACAAACATAAGTTTACTAAACTTGACTCAACTAAAAAAAAATACACAAGGTATGTATTAATTTCTCTATTATGTTATAGCATGAGCATTTAGTTAAAAAACTGTTTCACTTAAAGCTGAATTCTGAAGGACTTTTCCCAAAAGAATGAGTGCTGGTATGATGTACTTCCCATTGAAAAGCTTTTAGAGTGACTTTTGGGAGATACTTAGGATTATGAGGAGACTGCAACTGAGATCTTCCTTTTTTCTTTCATCATACAAATGAAACGATACATCGTTTCAACAACTAAATTAAAGGAAATAAAAGAAAATGTCATACACTGTGTGCAGTCAGCTTCAAAGAGGTTAGAGTGTCAGATACTGTAGCCAGAATTCTTAAAAGCATTGAATAATTTCATGGCTACTAACACTGGCTCTTATGCCTACTAGGATAAGAATGAAATCTTATGCCTCAGAATGTAAATGGATCATTTGCAAAGGTCAGAAAGGAATGTTTTTTTCTACATAGCAGGCAGAAAATGTATAAACGCATTTGGATTGTTTTATTTGCCTTTAAAATTGAGAGAGATTTGCTAAACAGGAATTGGGAAGACTGCATGTAGAAGGTTCCAGTTTACCTTAAAGCTGACTGCAAATACGAGAGATCTTGGAGACTGCATTTCATACTTTGTTCGACTTGTATCTATCATATCAATTCTGTAAGAGTTTGATGGTTACTTACATGTTCTACTTAGAATTACAAGCAATTGATTTAAAATGACAAGTGTGCATCTGAGGGACATGCAGAAACTTTCAAAGATTAAAAACAAAAAAATTACTGTGTGTTAAGCTTATTCTGCTATATTTGACGTTCTGCCATTGATATTTAATTTACTTATGAAAATTTTTCAAATTTAATTTAAATAGCTATCCTAGAAATTTGCTTTGTTGTAAAACTATTGTAAATAGGTTTCTATTCCTTCTAAAGATATAAGAAAATAGCATTCAGTCTTCAAGCAGGAAGGCAGGACTTGCTACTTATACTAAGATTGTTCACTAAACTTTTGGAAGTCTAAGTAAGCAACACTGAGAAAATGCCTTTTGCTTCACAGTGTATTTCATATCTTTACTGTATTGCTTCTCCTGTTCATGCTGTACCTTATTATTTT